CACAAGTCTTTTGAAATTATTCATTTAAAGATATGAATAATAAAGAATATATATATTCAACCAATTATTAAACGAAAAACGTTTAAATTATTAAACGAAAATAATTTCATAAATTTTATTTTCTAATACGCTTATTAATGTTGGCTTGAATTTGTGGCATTTATTTTTATTATCAAGTTACGACAGTTATTTTCAATTATCACGAATCACGAGTTATCGGATTACACGTCTACTGAGTAGATTTTGCTTTATGTAGTTAATTGCGCAGAATCACAATCAAGATATTGACCTCGGAGCTACGTCAGAAGAAACAAAAAAAAAAGATGCTCCGACAAAACGTTCACGGCGGACTATCTTTTTTTCATTTAAATGGTCGTAAGGCGACGGCGGAACGCAGGCTGCATACTTAATGGAGGTATATTTCTGCAGTGCCACTGCCACTCAAGGCAAGCCCAACACTACGTCAACGGGGTCAGGCTGTTCGCGACAGGAAAATAATATGAGTTGGTCATAATCCGCGGCAGCACTTCGCCTCCAGATACGGAGGTACACAACAAACTAAGCTGCTGACACGCAAGGACACTCCACATATGAAATCACGCGAGGCAAAGCGGAGAGTAATAACGACACCCGATAGAAACATTGTAATTTCGAAAATATTCTTTTTTCCGCACGAAATATATAAAACGAAATAATACAATCTAATCATTTAAATATATTGTTTTTACCATAAATTATTGGATCTTTTGGCATCGTTCTTAAAAAGTTTACAGAAACGTACGAGAGAATTTCTTGGCGACAAAAGGCATAAAAGTGTCCAAGTGACCAGAATCCATTATTGCTCTTTGACGTGCAATCGTGCTGCGCTATCGTGTACGTCACGCATCCGCATTGTACGCGCGCGAGCAGCGCCGATACATACACGTGCAATACGGCGTAATTGCACGTGTGAAGCGGGCGGGTGAAAGGGAGGTCGTCGGCGACAGGAGGCTCGTCGAACGCGATGCGGAACATAGGAAGAAGGAATGACATTACTGGATTGCGCAATAGACGCATGCGACGCTACGTGAAGCAACTATACTCGGGGACTGAACGAGGTGTCGGAAGTAATTAGTCACGACTTTTTTCCCGCTGTAATTGGCGTCGAATGAACTGAGTGATTTACGCGACACATTTTTCCGCGGGTGCGAATTTACTCGCGTGATATGATATACGATGATAACCCGCATCGGTACTGAATAAAATACTTATTAATACAATCGATTGACGTAACACGAGATGAAACACATGTTGGGACACCGATGTTACGAAAGCTGATTTGCGATTTTAACGAGAAATAAAATTATCTAATCAATTTTCTAATATAAGAAAAGTAAATGTATATAACTTTGTATTGTTTAAAATTTAAAAATTATATATCGCAGTTGTGTGGAAATCGTATCGACATCTTAGATAACTCCTTGTAATGGGGTAATGAAACATAATTGGTCATTAACGAGCGCGGATACGCGTATCTCCTTTTATACGAATGCACATGGTATGAATGCCCGACGGAACCGTTCGCAAATTCAACTGTTACCGCGTATCGATTTTTGTATAACAATTATTCGCACAAACGAACCGCAGAATGGCCGAGCGAAGCAGAGAGCCCGTCGCGCGCCGCGCGCCCGCGATGCGGTGCTAAACGTCATGTTTGTTGCACGAAAGAGATTTACGATTGCAGATGATTACGCAGGCTTACCTCAAAGGCGACGCGCGACTACCCAGCAGTGAGCGCGACGATTATGTATTCTTAATAGGATTAAGCGCAATCTGCTTATACACTGCCGTGACAGGACTCGCGCTGTGTTTGATGCTTACAAACCGCCACCTTTCCTAGCTGCGACCTACCTGCCGGATGCAAGACGAACGAGGCGAGCTCCGAACCGCGATCGAAACTCACCGAAACTCGATTTTCGTAGCTTGTTGGCAAGTCGCCGTCCCGGCAAGTCTCAAAAATTACATTATTATCCGGCTGTCACCCGGCTGTCAGCGAGCGTAATGAGAGCAGACGTTCTCTCCTGGCGGAGACCGCGCGTTGTAACGCGCGGCGAAATTCCGCGGCATGGAAACTGGCAGGTGCATCACGTTAGGAGAAACACCTCGCCTGAGGCGTCATACTCCTCACCGAAGTAATAACGAACGCGTAACGCTCGCTCGTGGCGAAAGAAATTTAATTGTATGATTGTACGCCGCCTGTGCGCGCTGCCACGGCCGAACGGGCCACTAATGATACAACAATTACGAAAGTTCTCCGTCGGAGCTGAACTATCGCTCATACGTAATTCTCCGGTGTCTTTTGCAATAATGGTTAACAATCTCTGAATGCTTTGATTGTTGTTTCACCCGCTCCAAGTTATATTCGCAACGTATCCGCGGCGCTACGCATGTCGCGTCGCGATGCCACCGGTTAAAATATTCGTATCATTTGGTGCTTCAACGAATATGCACAAAGTTCCGAGACTGTTTTACAAATGTTGCTCTCCGCAATAACGCGGCATGCATTTATGCATGTACAATTATTCGAATGCAAACTCGTTAATCTCTTTTAGACGCCGGGCCGTTCGCGTCGTAAAAATCATAAATGACATTTTTTAAATAGATGCGAAAACGAATACGTTCGCATTCCTAAATGCATCGCACGAAAAAGACACGTTAACAAGAGCGAAATGAAAGTTTGTTAATACGTATATAAAAATAACAATTTCATAAATCATAAGCGACACTCGTTTCATACAAATGACTATTGTTTATTTAAAAAATTACAATACCCAATACCCGAAAAGTTATTACACTCGAAATTATTATATCCGAAAATCAATATATCGGATATATCACTTTTACGAATATAAATTGTAATTGTAATTACACTCTCATTTCCAACAAAGAAGAATTTTGATAAATTAGCGACGAGATCGTAATTTGCAATTTGCCGGAAAAGCCAGGTCGACTTATTTTTGTAAAGATTTCCGCACGGTTGGAAACAACTGAGACACACAAACGTCGGCTCGAGAGATAAAGTTACATTAAAATCAAGAGGAATAAATTGCAGTTCGACGGGAATTCGCTTGGACAATTATCTTGGGGACGAAGCAGCTCCAATTAAACGAGCTTCCTGCCGTTCCCGTCTCGCAAAAACGGGGCCGATGCTAATTAGCAAAGTCTATGCTGGAAGTGAATTTCATATCGAGTTATAATCGAGTAAACAACAGCCTTAAGTAGTTCGAGCGTGCTATCTGCTTCCACGATTTCTTCGTGACCTGACATTCAATCGAGATATTCGCCCGTCTGGGCGACCGCCTCGCCTTATAACGACGCATAAATGTCGTGAATCGAATGCAAATAATCCCAAAGAATCGCTCAATGCGCAACGAACGGAACTGCAATAAACGTCGGAGCTTCAATGGATATATGAAAAATAAGCGTGAAGACGTAGATTGCATTTTATCATGGTTACAATCGCAATTATGATTCGAAATGCACGAAGATTCTAACTCACTTTCTCTCTCTCTTTTCGGTAGGTTCAATAATTTATTTATGAAAACGTTTAAATTACAATAATAAAATTAATTTATCTCTAAAATTGTTTGTAATCTACTCAATTATTTATTTATATCATCTGATTATATTTAAAAAGAAGTCATATCTGAAGTTGCGCGAATCTGAATCTAATAAGTTACTAAAATAACTAATAAGTAACTAAAATATTTACTAATTCGATCAAAGTAAAATTGAAAATAATTGTTATTAATTCGCTGACATTACTTCTCAATCTATTTTTATCACGTATTTTTATTGATTTAACGTAATATTTCGACGCATAGTTGCGCATTTTATCCTCAAAATCGAAAGAGCTGATCACAACATGAAGGAATATTTTATTATCTGACTTTAATAACTCAATTTTATAGATAAATCAACTTAAAGGAATGATTAAACAATAGCTTAATGACAATTACAAACTAAAATTGGTATATTCGTAATTATATTAACACAAAATTAAAATATTAAATTGATGAAAACTGCATGTTAATATGTGTCTTTACTTCAAAATTTAATACTCAATTATAAAATTAAATCATAATCTATCTTAATTCAAATTCAATCTCTGAACTAAACTATCTTAAGTCAGATTCAATCATAAATGTACTTGCATTAAAGAGTAATTAAACGAGAAAATACTGATATTCGCTAGAAATAATGTAGAATAATTTCTTTGTTCTTGAAACTAGAATTAAACCAAGAAATACAATCACCGTTCACTACAATCGATTCCAGACTAAAACTAAAAAAATTGATTATATATCGGAAAGTTAGCAAGAATTTTATAAAATATTTCGAATATAGGAAACGCAACACAACGTGTAAGTTTCAAAATCTCCACGATAAATCGACGCTACTTCGCGCCGCGGAATTTCAGCAATTATATCTGCATACGCGCGAAGAAAAAAAAAAGTTGTCAATTCGAAGGAGAGATTCGAAGGCACTCACCTGGAAAACCGCGTGCACACGCGACGAGGCACGCTGCAATGAAAAGAACGTGGACGAACGTTTTCATCCTGTCGCACACACAGGGAACGTCGATAACTCGAAAAACTGATCGCTTGCTGCCTCGACGATGTCTCGATCGACACTAACCGGTCCACCCGAACGACGGCTGTCACGTACGACGACGACTCGCGAAGGGATCAAGGTTACTTGCCAGACCGGCCCGCGGAAAACACCGACACTTTGCCCCGCGACTTTTGCCGTGCCGTGGCTATATGCAATCCCCCGATCGCGGCCGCGCCAATGAGCGTCGATCGCCGGTCACATGGTGCGTGCCACATGATCGCGGGCTGGACGCGGCGCGCGATTTTGAGTCACGTTGCGGCTTTTCCTGGTAATTGGTAATCCTTATAATTTTGCGTCGGAGCAAAGCATAAATAATGTACAACATGCGCGAACGATCGTGTCTCCGATCTTTATAGCGATCCCGCGAGCCAACGAGTAATTGCGCGTGTATTGATAATTATATATGCGAGTGCGAGCTGCATAACCGTCGTGAGTAATACTCTTGTTCCCAGTAAACACCGCGACCGTTATCGCGCTTGTCGTCGGCTTACAATTAGTTCGAAAAATCATTACTCACGAGACTTCTCGAGAAAGAAAGAAATATGCGAGAAGATAAATAGTGCGACTAACAATTTCCCTTTGTGAACTGAAATGCTGAAGAAATTTTATAATCTTAACGAGAATGGGTCAGAGGAGACGATAGCTGGCATGGAGGATCCTTATCGCACGCACATGATGTAAACGAGGTGATATGCGTTCACATGTATATGCGCGATCTCACGCGCGCGTGTAGCTGTGTGTATGCTCTCTTGCGTGTATCTTGTATGCGGATTATGATTATTATTATTACAGAAACCGCACGGCGCAGCGGTGGTGGCGGGTGAACCAGCGCAGCGGAACACGATAATTATCGTGCGTCTCACAACAAGCTTGTGTGTACACGCGGGGCGCCTTACGCACGCATCGGTATATCGCTTGCCATGCTTGCGCGCTTTCGCGTAAGAAGTCTATGTTACACGAACCGACGAGAAACTTCGGAACCAGACGAGACTTGCCTGACGAGATGCTTAACCCTGAGACATGAGCGTTCGTTACTTTTACAGCCGCGAGGACGTAACAGATTATTTCAAAATAATTGCGTTCGCGCAAAATTCATATATCACAGATATCACTTAAACAAGAGCCTTCAAGAGATTTCCATTTCTAGTATATTTCTTTAAATTGCTTTGAAATATAAAAACGTAAATAGAAGTCGTAAAGCTTTTATGAGAATTTCCCTTAAAAATATACTTGTGAACATTTGCGTTTTAAAATTAAAATTGATAACAAAGATAAAATATGTTTAACAAAGATAAAAATTATGTCTTTGTAACGCCATATTTCAACATTCGGAAAAGTTATAATTTTCTTACCGTTATGTTAATAAACGTAATAATTGGATGAAATATTATTCTCTTATTATATACAATCAAACTTTGTGATCGGTTACGTCAAGGCTGTGAATTTATGTAATCATGTCGTTTTCTAAGAATAGCTGGAATCATGTAATTCAAATATTTTTTTTCATCATCCCGAATAAAGTATAAGCTACGAACACGCACTCTTTGCTTCGTTAGGAAATATCTTTCATAGATTTTCCATGCACATGCAATTCATATGTGTTCTGCGCAAAATCGTGAGCAAGAATAGACACAGACGATTCATTGTAATAGATAAATGTGGCATTATGCGACGTCCGTTTTGTCATCTCTCTACCGCGTATGAATTTAACCTTGCACCTATTATCGTTCTATATATTTCTGACTACTACGTGTCGTTGCAATAGTTGCTACCTAGTGAATATCATCTAATGCTAAAGCAAAAATGAAAGAGCTAAAATTACAAGAGATACATCAATATTAACCTTATATAAGTAAAATTGCAATGTCAAATTAACTCAAAGATTTAATTCAGTTTGAAAGATTTTAATTAGCTATATATTATTTCAAATCCTTTCAGGCGAAAAAGTATTTAAATAATCGAATTTTTAAAAATTATTGTAACAATTCTAAAAAAAATACGAATTAGCGTGAAACATTGATCTTTGATTATACTTGGACAATTGCTTTGTTTTTCTTTGACTCAGATTTCTTGGAGAACTACTCTTAATCGATGTTCATAGAATCAATTCTTATATAAAATTGTGTCTTAGATATATACTTAAAAAATTTTATAAATCAATCACAGATATTATTTGAAACGACATTGAAATAAAAATAAACTATCGAGCTTAGTTTTTTAATGATACGTTCCAGCTTACATCTATGACTATAGCTGAAAAACAACTATCTTTTTACATAGTATCATCACAATAATGAGCATTTTCACTCGTGACTATAACTACATCAGCTATTGTTCGCCGATGCGATTAGTCACAAATGGACAAAATATGCGATGAGTTAATAATAAGAGAGAAAGAGAGAGAGAGAGAGAGAGAGAGAGAGAGAGAGAGAGAGAGAGAGAGAGAGTATAT